GAGAGAGAGAGAGAGAGAGAGAGAGAGAGAGAGAGAGAGAGAGAGAGAGAGAGAGAGAGAGAGAGAGAGAGAGAAAGAGAGAGTCGACCGAACAAGGGTACTAAGGACAAAGAAGGAGTTATGAGCGCACAAATAGATCCCAGAATCAAAACCGGCAATCGACCGTAAACTTAGCTTCCAATATAAGAAAAGGAGGAACCGAAGATCAAAGACGAGCACACCTTCTGCTTTCTGATTATGGACCCTGACCATAAACTTAGCTTCCAATATAAGGAGAGGAGAAACCGAAGATCAAAGTCGAGCACACCTTCTGCTTTCTGATTATGGCCCCAGACCATACAACCACTAGTACACACATACCTTTCTTACCCTGGTACNAACCGAAGATCAAAGTCGAGCACACCTTCTGCTTTCTGATTATGGCCCCAGACCATACAACCACTAGTACACACATACCTTTCTTACCCTGGTACTGGCGATCCCCACCGCCACATAGCAACCTCCACACCAGAATGATCGTCACCCCACCAACTCAGCTTCTACACTGACTTGCCCAGATCCCGCAGTCCATTGCGCCCACTTGGCGCACAACCTTCCAAAACTACATTCAACTTTTCAGGACTTTTCGACTCACCGTACATACATATCATCTAGCCACGACTTTCCGAAAGCTGGCAGATGGGTTGAGAGATTTTTCCGGTTGCGCTTGCGGATTTTATAGCTACAAAGAGGGCGGTGGAAGATACGAGGGAACGGGCCAGAGGTAAGGGGGGGGCGAAGGGAGAGTTCGGGTAAATCTCATGGGGAAAGTTGTGTCAACCGTTGGTTCTTATTCGTGCTTGTAATACCCGGTTCCATTCTCCGCGCAATGTTATCGAAGCGACCCGTCTGCGTAGGCCGTCACTCCCAACCCCTACTTTTCAGAGGGGGAACCATCGACCGAGGTCACCAGCATCAGAAAAACAACGACAAACCAAAAAGAGCTAAATTAAAGGAACCTAATTACAAGGAACAAATTAAAAGGATTTTTTTTTTTTTTAAAGAACTGATTCAAAAGAACCTGATTAAAAGGAACTCTTGCCCCCCCCCTTTTTTGCTTTTACCAACTGCATAACCGTGTTCTCCATTTTTCCCAAGAGGGGGCATTCTTCCGCACATAGCCAACCAGGCAATCATTGAAAAGCTTGGTTGGGTACTCCTGTATGCGCAGTTGCCTCTTCATCGTTAACAGAGCTAATCTGGCGAGCTCAGTGGTTGACGTCATACCTTGGATGCAGTGCAGGATACTCGTAATCACTGCCTTCTTCTGACTGATTATTGAAAACGACGTAAAATCCTGGAAGGTGCGGTAGGAGAGCTCACCCAAACAAAGGAGACAACTAGCTTAACGGAAAGTGGCGAGGTAGGGCGAGTAGTATTAGAGAGAAATGCTTTACTTGTGCTTTTCGTTGTAAGAAAAAACAGCGATAGTCTCTATTGCCTTTTTTATTAAAAACGGGCCGGTAGATGACTTGGACGACGTGCATCTCCGTGGTCGCCGCGTACAGGCACACAGTGTCACAAACTAAACGTAGACCCAGGTCAACGGAGCTAGTGGAACATGGAAAGATACATTGTCAGGACTTTGTCCCACATGCACCGTTTAGTGGACCTAGCTCAACGGTGTGACGGCTGAAACTGATTTTTTAATTCATTTCAAACTCGAAAATAGTAAAATACATTAAAAAATATGCATAAGATACAATTCCTTTTTTTTTTCCCCCACAGTTGAAGTGGCATACGTGACGTCCAAAACCGGGAATGGAAACTTACTGCCATCCTTCGTCGCTATGATGCAAAGAGAGAGAGAGAGAGAGAGAGAGAGAGAGAGAGAGAGAGAGAGAGAGAGAGAGAGAGAGGTCGTGGATGTATAAAATATGCGTGAATCTGGATGGATTCACGGGACGCCTCTCCATGAGTCTGCCCAATAACGGAAACAGATAAAAGAGCCCATGACAACGACGAATTTGAGCTGCTCTCATCCTTTGAAGAGTCACTCCGATCCTATGAAGAGTTGCTATATTCCCTTAGTTGACGCATATGTGGTCCTTCAAACGTCGCACCAAATTGTCGAATTCCCGTACTTCACGCATATTCAGTCCTTCAAAAGTCGCACGAAAATAACAAAGTACAACGGATTTCAATAATTTCTAAAAATGTAATAAAATAACATCAAAAAAAAATAATCCAGAAAGGAGGTTTTTCGTGGCCAACGGTCGTTGAACTGACTGTCTCCAAAAAAAGAGAAAGCTAGCTCATCGGAAAGTGGCGAGGGTAGGGGGTGTAGCGTTTGAGAAAACATCAGTTTTTAAACTATTTTGTTGGAAGAAAATACGAGATAATATCTATTAATAATTAAAAAAAAAAACGCTGGATGATTGTGAGGGCGTGCATTTCCTTCGTCGCCTACAGTCGCATGGCGTAGAAAACTAAATGTGGGCCTAGCTCAACCGACGAAGTGGGATAAGGTCCCCGATGAAGAAAATACAAGCTAAAAAAAAAAAAAAAAAAAAAAGGAAAGATACACTGCCATGTTTCTTGTCCTGTGTGCATGTGGTGAGTAGTGGAGGGAGGTCCAAAATCCTTCGCTAGAGGTTTAGGATGCAGGGTTGGGGCCGCCAGTGAGGGCCCAACTAACACAAGGACCAAGCATTTGCCAACAATTGGGCCTCCCTTTTCATCTTCCCCCAACCCCATCGAGGAACGACAGTGTCTAGGGCAAGGGGCAAACATGCAATTACCTCCCTCCAACGAGAGAGGTAACCTCCCTTCACCGAAGAGAGATAGGGGTCCCCTGTATAACCCTTAGGAGTAACTGTAGGCAGGTAGGTAGTGAAAGATGAAAACAGATACGTTCCACGGCATGGCAGAAGCTAAAATTGAGAGAGAAAAAAATAAATAAATAAATAAATAAATAAATAAATATATATATATATATATATATATATCGTCACAAACATAACTGCCCGGTAAACCGTAGGCAGAGAGAAAGAAGAGGACAACAAATGACGGGCTGTGACAAACTGTTTCGTCGGAGTTTCACCGACTCATCAGGAGGCTGAACCCTCAACAGTCTGCAGAATCCCCTCAGTGATTACACTGTAAATGATAATCTACCTTAACCAAAATCAAAGTAGACTATCACTCACCCACAYCAGATGGAAAAYTCTACAGACTGTCGGTTCACACCCCATCACAAG